AAATCTGACAGAGGGACCCAACAGCAAGCCTGGTCGGTGCCCCGAGGGCCTTGTGGACTTTTCCTCTATGAGCGCGCCACTGCTGAAGGCTCGAGGCAACAAAGGAACAATCAGGGCACTGAAAAATCACAACAGGAATACCAGAGGCCTCCAACGGGGTACCCACCACTGTCTGGCCCAAATTGGCCTCCCAAACAGCGCACCTAAGAGCATCCCGAGAAGCCCTCTTAGCTTTGATGACGGCAGCCGACACCAAGGATTTGTAGGTCCTGGGGTGATCGCGAACAAACCTAAAAAGACCCTCGAGGGAATCATCTTCTGGACGGTGACGGGGTTCCGTGTGAAACCTCAACCACGCATAGTCAGCAACTAGAAGCTGCGCCCACGCCCCCTGACATCTCCAGGTGACATCCACCAAAACTCTAACCATGGGGGGGGCGAACAACATGAGCCGTCGAAGATATCGTAGCCTGGCAATGGTCATGACATCCTCAAAGGGACGTCGGTCAACTCTCGAGAGCACGCATGCACTGCGCTCATGTGAGGATGCGTTGTTAGTACTAGCGAGGTTGAGAGCACACCTGTACACAGAGACGTGCGCTGTGCCCATCTTTCTAGCTTGGGCACTTGTGAGCTTTGGCCACACTCCCGCCGCATAGAACAACGCGGAATCAGCAATCGCGTCTGCAAAAAGGGTCTTTGCTCCTAGGGAAAGAGCCTCCATAGGAGCCACCGTGGCCTTAATGGGCCTCAGGGAACCCAAGCACTTGGCAACGCGCGCGGTGATCCCAGGCGCCATGGAGCCCGAAGAGGTCACTATAGCACCCAGGATCTTGTGCTGCTGAACAATCGGAAACGAGAACCCCCACTTGGCGGAAACCACAGCCTCCAGAGACCTGTCCGAGAACCAGGCACCCCTTTAGACCCCTTCCCACGTAAGGCAACCAAAATCTTGGTCTTTGCGGCGTTGGGGCGAAGCCCGACAGACAGTGCTGCAATGTACACTGATTCAGCCAAAGCAAGGGCAGCATGAGGTATGGCATGGGCAACACGCACAAAGAGCGAAACGGTAAGATCACCAACAAATGAGAGGTCAGGTTGCGCATCTTGCCAATCCTGTTCGCTGGCACACACAAACTCTTCGGGCTGCGGTAGTGCTTCCCTAATACTGCACGTCAGTGGCTTGATTCTGGCACGTATCTTCATTAAAACGTTACGGAAAACTAAGTTAAACACATCAGTGGCCAAGACCGTGCCAGGCCTCGTGCCGCCTCCTGGGATGACAAAGTTCCCAGCTCCTCTCACCCTCCAGAACGTGCCTCTCTGAGTCTCCCTGATCAGAGCCAGGAGATGTCTGCTGGATAATTTGGACTCTAGCAGCTTGGGCGCAGCCAACAATCCCTTCGCGCCTTCAAGAAGAAGCGGCGGTATATCTACGCGCTCCAACGCATCCCTGAGCTTTTCCTCCTCCCCAGGCAGGTCCAAGGCAAATTGCTTAATCGCATTGTAAAAGGCGTCAACAAGGTCCAGAGAAAGTACAAGCAGAGACCTCTTGTGCATAACAGACGCCTGGGAGGCCAGGAAAACCCCGTGGAGAGCCATATCGGGTCGCTTGTGCGCAACCCCCCCCGCACTGCTCTGCCAGGAGGCGCTGGGCCAAATATTGTAATGCAAGCGCGCGCACGTGCCTGTGGTACAACTTGCACACCGTGCTCGCCATGGTAATGTTCCGTTGGGCCTTGGCTAACTGAGCAGGGCCTGACCCCTTGTAGAAGAAAGTGACCTCCCCCAGTTTGAACACAATCGGTTCACGGGCCGCGATCGCAATTTTGGCACAGAGTGGGCATAAGCCTTTGGCAATATCACGGGGAGCGACCTTGCACAAATCGGCGGGGAAACCATCGGGACCAGGGGCCTTTCCCGCCTTAATGGCTCTCATGAGCCATTCAATGTCAAACGCGCTGGGGAGTACTGAAATGTCACGTGACACTGTGGACTGAAGCAGGTCAGGCATTACGTTAAAGGCCCTGACAACATCATCCAATGTAGCACTCTGGCCAAACTCCACCGAGCAAAAATGAGCCTGCATGTGGCTGGTTATTTCATCCTGAGATGTGAGGATCCGATCCTGGGCCTCCAACCCTGCTGCATGAGCCTCCTGGATCTCCGAAGGGGAGGGGGGGGGGCGACCATCATGGGTAAAACATCTGGTGCCTGGAACTTGCCCCCCTTGCGGCCGCCAGCGGCCAACAGCTTTCTGTCCTGCCTAGCTTGCTGTCGTGGCATACGTGCATCAGCGGATATCTGGATGTCCTGTGCACTCTTCTCGAGGTACCACACTCGATCCTGTTCGAGGACACGTGCAAGTTCGCTCTTGCTGGAAATCAAGAACTGGACACACTCATCAGCAACAGTGTATACATCTATGCTATTCCTCCGTAGTCGATGAGCCGCCTGGTGCAGCGGTTTGGCGGCCTTCGTCATCCCTCGCGTGAAGGTCTCGTCTGCAATCTTTCGCAGATCGCCCACCACCAGTCTCTTGGCCAAGTGCAAGAGAGAGCGAGCAGCAAGATGGAGGGGGGAAGAAGTCAAACTACCGTTCCTGGTGTCATGGTCGAGTGGTTTGATGTCCTGGGGGCAATGCAACTTCCTGAGAGCCCGCGCGACACCCCTTCTCCAGCTAATGAGGGACAAAGCGGGAGAAGAAACAAACGGCTTCACTGGGGCCCTTCCAAGATACCCAAAGGCCGCAGAGGCCCCCTCAAGCACCTGGGAAGAAAACATCTCTAGGTGGTCATTGATATCCGTGTCCCAAGATATGCACGCTGCCTGGGCAACCCTGGCATGGAAATCCGCCTGCTCAGCCTCTGAGGCTAGGCGACGAGGGCCCATCTTGGGACATCGACCAATTTGCACATCAAAGGGCTCGCAGGCCCATGCGAAGCGAATCGAGAGTGGGTAATGATCTCGACACGACATGACGTTATCAAATGAGTAGTGAACCTTGGCACTGGCTGCGGTCACCATCAAACTCTGGTCTGCCAAGATGTAATCAATGCGGTGTCTCGCACCTCCATACTCTACAAAGGTGTGACCGCTCTCTGGATCTGGCAGGAGGGTATTGACAATGTGCAACGAGGCTGCAGAGGCGAATTCATGTAAATCATCTCCATTGGAATCCTGGTCCTGGACAAACCCCTTGTCACCCACAACCGAAGAAATAACAGAGCCCACACGAGCATTGGCGTCTATGAGAACCATTTGGGGGGCCCACTTGTCACACAACTGTCCCATGGATTGCCAGAACTTAACTTTCTCGTGGACGGGTCGCTTAATGTGGGGTGCATGCGCAACAGCCACTACAATCCTCAAGGCAGGCGCACAGATGCGGACAAGTAGGATCCTGGAGGACGCAAAAATGACCTTGATATGGGGCAGGGAAAAACAGAGCTCCCTGGACCCAACAGTAGCATTTGGAAGCTTCTTGCTTATCCACAACTCTACGCCCAGCCCTCCACACTCGTCATCCTTATCACAACCAGAGGAGACGATCCAGAAATCATCAGCAGAGCGCATGCCTCTGGGGTTCCTAGCCTCCTGGACCCCAACAATATGGGCCCCCAATCGAGCAAACTGCAATCTGAGCGATTTGTTGCGAGCCCTCCGAGCCCTTCCCTTGGCCCCCCAGGCCTTCCTAGTGGAGGTCGATTTAGCATTATACTGGCACGCAAGCAAAGACACACGCTCTCCTGAGGACTTGACCGTCTTCACCCGAGTCAACTTGCTGACATGATCCACGCCCGCACAACATGTGGGCAAGGGCGTGTTGACGGGGGTTACCCACTGAGGAAAAACCTCAGCATGTTCCCCCACAAGCTCGCGAATCCACTCCCAGTCCCTACCTAAGTGATAAAGGGTGGCCTCAATAAGCCCGTCGGGCAGAACAGAGGGGGACACCTTATCCTGCAGGGTGCCTCTAGCGAAGAAATCAACCAGAGAGTTCCAAGGGTGCCCAGCGTGGCCCTTCACATGCGTGAGCAGGCAAGAACGCCTCTCCGATAAAACCAGCCAAAGTGAAGCGGTGATCCTCGCCAGAGGGTCTAAGTGTCAGGGGCCCTGCGAACCATTCAAGGTGCGGACGGCATTCAAGGAATCACTCTCCAAATGAACGGGAAGTAGGTCAGGAGAGGCAAGAAGAAAAAGGATGGCCCATAGTAATGCAGCAAACTCGGAGTCGGTACCTCCTCCTCCTCCTCCTCCTCCTCCTCCTCCTCCTCCTCCTCCTCCTACGGGCCACGCGGAGGACCGGGAACAACAGGAGGTGGCCCGTCCACCTCCCGGGGCAGCCCGCCTCTTCCTCCGCAGCACCAGGAGCCACTTCCGGGCCTGCATCCAGATCGCGCCACCCGGTATCATGCATCTGCCGTTAGCCCATCTTGCCTTCGCCTCTCAACTCTTTACCCTCGCCCACCTCCTCCCCGATCCTCACTTCTCCTCCCCTCCCCTCCGTCCCGCCGCGCCCTCCGCTCTCCCCGTCTCCTGCCATCTCCACCTTTCCCCCTCCCCATCATTTCCCGTCCCCTTCCCTCCACGGTCCCCTCCCCACCGCTTCCCCATCTGCCCCTCTCTCCCTCTCCTCGCGTCCCTCCTCCTTCCCTCCCATCCCCTCCCGCCTGGCCTCTCCCCTCCCCCTCCCTCCCCTTCTCGGTGCGATCGAGACGGGGACGGGAATAAATGGCACCAAGGTCAGCAGCAGTTCCTTCCCAATCTGAACAGGACTTGCTGTGCGCGTTGCCACGAGCGTTGCACATTTGAGGCGCACGGCACGTGCCCAATTTGCGGTTGTAGACACTATTTGTTGTAGGGCATCGTCCCCATCCCCCCCCCCATGTTCCCCTCATTTCCCCAACCCTCGCACCCCCGACCCTACCCCCTCCCTGCCGTAACCCTTCCCCCCCTCGGCCCCCTTCTCTCCCCCTCTTCCCGCCAAGCCCCGACAGGTGCTGCCAGCGTGGATCAGGGTGGGCAGCAAGTGCCAGTATTTCTCGGAGGCCCGCGGCTCGCGGAGGGGGTGGGTGGGGGGCTGGCGAGCGGAGGGACAACGGGCAGGTGCCGCTCGAGCTTGGCCTCTGTTGGAGCCCCCAGTCGCCTGCGGGAGGAGGAGGAGGAGGAGGAGGAGGAGGAGGAGGAGGAGGAGGAGGAGGAGGAGGAGGAGGAGGGGGAGCTATCCGTTGAGCTATCCGCAAGCGTTGATAAGCCGCGGGGTAGCGACCACCCCGAGCCGTGCGCTAGCACCCCGCAGGACCCACACGCCATCGGCGACCGGGGTGGGGGACGGGGGTGTGTGTCGCGGTCCCCGCGGGGCGCCAGGCGTGAAGTCCAGGAATTCACACGGGAAGCTGGGAAACTCGCCCTCCCCCCCCCGAGGTTCGACTAGACGTAAGAGTGACCTTTCGCCGGAGTGACCTTTGGTGCGGGCACAGATGGGTCCCCAGATGGCAGAAAACGAAGCAGTAGCAGCTGGTTGCGCGCCCAGATTTGGTCCCCCCGCGGCTCCCAAAAAGCCGCGCACCAAAGGTCACTCTTACCCAGGGTCACTCTTGCGTGCAGCCGAGAGGTTCGGCCCCCCCCCGAGGTTCGGCCGTTCTGGTTCTGCACGTGCGCAGCGGGGCATCGCCCGAAGAGTTCGGCAAAGAGCCCAGGTCACTCGCAAGCTTCGCTGCTCTGTGAGAGAAGCGTCGGGGACTGGGGGCGGTTCGCTTTTTTGGGAAGCTCGTCTTAAAACACACAGAATGCACTCCTTTGCACTTATGCAGGCGCTACCATAATTAGGCCGCTCAAAGCCACCAAAGGCTGCTAACGGCAGCAGAAGCTCACAGAAGGCTGCCACGAGGCGGCTGAAAGGCCACTAGAGCCTGCTCATACCACGAAAGGCCGCCACAGGCCACCGAAATGGCTACTAAACCGAGGCGGTACATGCCAGATGAGCTTCCACAAAGACTCGCCCCAGGGCGGGGGGGTGGGCCGGAGGTTCTCTGAGTTTGGGGCAGGCCCAGGGCGGCTGGGCGGCCCCCCCGAGCCCTCCTGCCTCGAGCCTCGAGGCGGCCGCCGCGCGCCTCTCCCGGGCCCATCGGCCGCGGCCGCCGCCGAACCCCCGTCGGACGAGGAGCTTCTCGGTAGCAACAATCTCAGAGCCTGAATTACCTACCCCGCTTTCGCTTCCAGGCAAAACCAAGCCATGCCACGCGCCTCCTTGTCAAGCGGCCGGACCAGTACAGGCTGCAATTTGGCATCGTTTGGTATCTCTCGGAAGCGAGGGTGGTCAAAAGCGAGGTAGGCTTGTTTTCCCCTTACAATCGGGGGGGACAGGCCGAGGGGGGGGGGACGCATCGACCCCCAATCGCCCGTGCATCGCCGATAGGGGCCCGATGGCTCCGCCACGCCCACGAGCGGGCGGGTCTCTCGCTATGGGGAGCCCACCGGCGATGGGTGGGCCGATTCCAGACCGATCTTTGTTTCCCCTCCTGAGCTGGTCCCCCTTGTCGTTGTCCCTCAATTTTGAAAAAATAACGCTGCCCTTGCCTCGGTTTCCCTTTCGTAGGCCTCCTGAGGGGCCCCTTGTCGCCACCGCTAGATTCGCCTCGAACATCTGGTCAGAACGCACCCAGAGAGAGGCCCAGTGCCTTGATGGTTGCCCCAGAATTGGACTCGAGGATCGTGAGCGCCGCGGCCTCGTCTCGGACCCAGCGGCCGCCTCCGTGCGCCCGGCCGGCTCCCCCGCCTCCGGGGACTCCCGCTTGCACGGAACCGTCGCCCAGGAGCTCTGCCAGCTCGCCGCAGGGGGTCGCAGATGCGACGGCGACTGTACCCTCGCCGGCATAGCTGGTCAGCTGGCTCGGGGTTCGGAGGCTCAGAGGTCAGATGATCAGAGAACTCGGAGTGATTGAACTGCCATCAGGAGGCTTTGTGAGATGTAATCCATTCTTCGTTGCTACTTGTATTGCCAATGCTTTAATTCTGCTTGCTTTTTTTCCGTGCGGCCCTTTTGGCCAAGGACCCTGTCGAATTAAGAAGTGCGGCGTTCAGTTCAGAACTTGGTTTGCAGGAAATTATGCCACCGCCCCACGCCAAATTTTATCCTGCCAAGCTTATTTGTTCGCACAGCGAGCAAAATGGAACACCAGCCAGGGGACTTCCTTGACTAGCCAGCATGTTTGTATACATGTGTCTGCCCAAAAAGCGAGGCCCCGTATAACATCTTTAACACAAGAAACGAGCGTGCGCACTGATGCGGATGCACGGGCAATCCCGCAATCCAAATGCTGTGTTTCCGCTGCTTGGCAATTTCCAGCCACGCCAATGCCAAAATAAGAAGGCCGGTGGTTTGTTTCTGCTCTCGGGAGTAAGACGCTCGGCGCCTCCGCCAAATAAAAGGGTGTCACATTGAAGCTTTCGTTTGCAGGGCGTTTTGGCGCGGCGCCTTCGCCAAAGTTCAGTTTTCGGCAAGTAATATCTTGACAATATGTGCTAGTTGTTACTGTGGCAACCCTCATTTGGGCCCCTGGGGGGCCCATCGAGGCTTTGCGACCGCAAGCGGGCCGCAGTGTGCTCGTACGGAAGCCAGCGCCACTGCCACACTCCGACGGCGCACCAGGCCGAGGTGACCGCGGCCCTGCACGCCGTCAGCGCGGCGGGCTGCCCGGACGAGATCGTCACCGGCTCGCAGTGCGTCCAGCATGGCGTGCTAGCCCTCTGTGCCAGCGCCTCGCCACGGCGCGGCAGCAGGCAGACCTCTGGGCTTTGCTCGCGCCACACTGCCAGTCCTGCTTCGGCTTCGTCACCGCGCGGTGGGTCAAGGCGCACCTCGACGAGGAGGCGGCGGCGCGGCGCGGCATATCCGAGGAGGACCGGCTCGGGATCAAGGCTGCCGATCGCTTGGCGGGCGCCGCCGCGGCTCCCCGACTGCCTGCGGCAGCCCTTCGCCACGCTGGCTGGGCCGTCTGGCTGGCTTCGCTCACGGCGATCCGAAATATGTCAGCTCGGTGGAGCTCGAGGCTTTGAAGGCCAACCACGGGAGCCACGGGCCAGGCGGCCCCTGCGTGCGCAAGCGGTGGGCAGCGCCCGCGCCCAGGAGGCGGCAGCCCCGGGAGGCGGACGACGCGGTCGTGGCCGCGGCCGTGGCCCCCCCTGCGGCCTCGGGCCACGCGCTTCGCCGGCCGGGCGCGGCGGAGGCGGCGCGGGCGCTGTTAGCGGGCGGCGCCCGGCGCGCCCACGTGGCCTCCCAAGGCTCTGGCTGGGTGGCGTGCCTGCGTTGCGGGTGCTGGGCTCCGCGGTGCCTCGCGGGCCAGCCCTGCTGCGGGCGCGTCCCTGTCCTGCCGGCGGAAGGCGGCCGGCCTGCTGCTGCTCCCTGCTGTGCGGGCGGGCGGTGCGGTGGGGGCCCGACGCCGAGTGGCGCGCGGCCCTGCAGGCGCGCCTGGCCGGGCGCCCTGGCGCATTTGACTACTTTGGTGCACGGCCGCGCGTGGGGCCCCCGGGCTACCCGCCGGGCGCCCTCGTTGCGCGCGGCCGCAGGCAGCCGGGCGCATCGGCGCCCGTTGCCTCGCGTTTTCCCCCTCCCCCTCTTCCTCCCCTCCTCTCTCCCTGCCCCTGCTGCTGGGTTTCGCATGGATGTCAAAAAGTGTTGCGTTGATGCCAAGATGGGTGCCCCTCTGGTGCCGCACCCCTCTCGGAGGGCCCCCTAAGGGACCTCCAGAGTTCCGAAATGGGGTCTCAGGGATCGCTGCCTGGTCGATGGGATTTGGGGGATGCCCGGAGACCGTGCGCGCCCGCACCGTCAATCCAACTTGGCGTCCCAGAGGGGCAGCTGCCGCACTACAGCCGCGCACTGCCGCACCATCGTTCAAACAATGGTCTGGGCAGCTGGGCCGAGCACGCGCAAGTAACGTCTTAGGCCCCCGACTAGTGTCCAAAATCAATGTTGACACGCTGCTGCTTTCGCCCGACACCGGCGCTGCCATAGGGGCGCCTTGGTGCCTGCTTACTCCAGCGCCCCAAGCTGCCATATGGCCGTGCTGAGGCCAGCCTGTGCACGCATGAGAGGGTGCCTCGGGCACACGCAAATATACGTTAACAAAAATTTAGATACATTTAGTGCAGTGAGATGACCGCGCCGTGTCTTCGATGCTGCCCGGTCCCCCCAAATTAAGGGTTTGGCTGGCAATTAAACTCGTCCTTCCGCCCCTCTTCCCCCCGTCGTCCCCCCATGCAACGGGCGTCTCCTGCTCAGCGTGTGCCAAGGCCTGTGCGCACAAGGAGACGGAGGAGGATAAGGAGGAGGAGGGCCTTCGAGCGAGAGCGATGGCGGCGCCGACGACGACGATGGCGGATGCCTGAGCGGTGGCCGCCGCGGGGAGATGAGTATTTGCAAGTAATTATTGTTGGGGGCCCAGTCAGTCAATAAACCCACGCAGGCATGTATCCCAATAGAGGGGGGTAGAGACCGTTCGCGGTTATGTATTCTAAAATACGGTAATGCAGTGAAGATCCAGTTAAGACGTGTTTAAGCGAATTTAAGCGGCAGGACCACCACGCCACCGCCCACACACCAGCGCCCACGCCACCGCCCCACCGCCACACACCACGCCACCGCCACCCCACACCAATCACGCCACCACCATTACGACCGCCACAGTCCACACCATAACACCACAACCACGCCTCCACCACCCACACCACCACCCACACCACCACCCACGCACCCACGTACCACACAGCACAACCATCCACAGCAGGATCGCAGCGCACCGCAGCAGACCCCCACCACCACCACCCCGTCGCCACCCACCCCACCACGCCATCGCCATCCCCACCACCACCTAGACGATCACCACCATCACGACCACCACCTCCCGCACCACCACCCACGCACCATGCCACTGCCACCCACACCATTACCCAAACACCTAAACCAAGACCATCACACCACCGACACCACCACCCCCGCCACCACCCCAACCGCCCTACCCCGCCCCACCCCACCACACCACGGCGCCACCACCACCACAAACACCGCGGAAACAGCAAAAGGGAAACGACCAGATGAGGAGAGGGCAGGCGTTTGGTTGTGGTTGGTGGTTTACGTTTTTGGGGCAGTTGGTGGTGATGGTTGTTGTGGCTGTTGTGGTGTTTGGTGGTGTTTGGTGCTGTTGGATGCTTGGTGGTGCTGATTGGTGTGGCGACCGTGCCACCGCCCCCCCAAAACACGCGTACTCGCGCGTACTACCAATTACCAAGCGTGGCTGGTGAAGTCGGAGGCAGCGGCGGCGGCGCGGTCGCCGCGAACGCCCAAGGCGGCTCGTGATCTATGCAGGCGGTTA